GGGGGAGGGCGGCGGCGGGAGCGGGGCAAGGGCCGCAGGCGGCGGTGGGAAGGATCCTGACCCAGGCGGGGCCCAAGCGGACAAGCAGCATCACGACTCTTCCTACGGCACCTTCGCCAGCGAGTTCTACGATATGCACTTCCTCTCCGACGAGGGTGAGCCGCCCGCCGAGGCGCCCAAGACAGGGGGCAGGAAAGTCTGAGGGGGGACGAGGAGGAGGAGGAGGAGACGCGGGCGGGGGCGGTGCGGGACGAGAAGAGAGGACGACCTTATAGGGAGCCAGCAGAGAGAAGGGACGAGCACCCTTTGCTCGCCTTTGCGGCCTCTCGGCAGCCGAGAAGCGCCGCTGGTTTCCGGCGGGAAGGCCGGAATAAGGAGCAGGCGAGGGGCTCGGAGGGTGGGAAGGCCTTCTGCACATGTACAGAGGCTCTCTCTGGTCTTGTTACTAGCCACGGCTGAGCGTTGAGATGGGGACGAGCGGGAGCGGGTTGCTGGTTTTGTAAAACCGCATCTATTCCGCTGTGACAGAAGGACGGATGTGCCAAAGGGGCGGCGAGGCTTCTCCTTGAGGGGAAATGCTTTCCTGACGCCTCGCCGCCCGGGGCCCTGGACCGCTCGTTCCCTACGAACTAAACGGCTGCCATGGAAACCGAGTCAAGGCTGGCGCGTGGGCAGGGCCCTACGTCACAGAAAGGCCCTCCGTGTTGCGTCCGGTCCTCTCTGAAATCACGCAGCGCCGACCCGAGGAGCGGCTTCTTGTCCGAGTAGCCCCCGCATGGCCCCTGCCACGGAGGAGCCGGCGCCGTGACTTGGTGCTTTCCAGGCAAAAAAAGGCTTGCCGAGACTGTCACGGAGCCTCTGAGCAAGCCGCAAAGGGAAGGTCCTGGGGTGGGGTGAAAGAGTGCCTTTCACAGTTCGCGCTGAATAAGGGAAGGTGTGGAGGCATAAGGAAGACATGCGGGCAGCTGCTCCACCATGCGGACCACACTGTCCTGCCTCCGTCGCCTGAAGCCCACCCGCTTCGGTGTCTGTAAGTCAGCTGAAGTAGGGAGTATAAGTTTTCAGTGGCCAAAATCCATCTGCTTAGCATAGTAAATTGCACTGGAGTTGGCCCATTGAATCAATGGAGATTTGTTTCAGCATAGTAAATTACTGTAGATACCGAGTGTGGGGAAACTTTGGTACGCGACTTTGGGGGGGGGGCGACGTTGGGAGAAGACTTGGTAGTAAAATGTATACATGGGGACTCTAAGGCAGTGGTCCCCAACCTTGGGCCTCCAGATGTTCTTGGACTACAACTCCCAGAAGCCTTCACCACCATCTGCACCGACTAGGATTTCTGGGAGTTGCAGTGCAAGAACATCTGGAGACCAAAGCTTGGCAAGGTTGATTGCTGAAGTCTGTGCTCCTCAACCTTGGGGCACCAGATGTTCCTGGACTACAACTCACAGAAGTCTTCACCACCACCTGTGCCCGGCTAGGATTTCTGGGAGTTGAAGTCCAAGAACATCTGGAGGCCCAAGGTTGGGGACCACTGCTCTAAGGCATGTAAGACGACTTGGGCCCACGTGCGAATTGGAAAAGAATGTTGAAGGTTGAAAATTGGGATAGTGCCAGGCTTGTCTAGAGAAATGTTGCTGGGGAGAGATTGCATTGGAACGCCCAGAATAGTCTATATATGACTAGATTGGCGGGCTGTAAATGTAATGAATAAATAAATAAGTTCTTGCAACTAAAAGAAGGCCTGCAAGGAGAATGTGGCATGGAGGAAAACGAAACCGGTTTTTTGAAAGAGGCATCACAGGAGCAAACGAGGCTCTGGCAACAAGATGATCTTAGGTTGCAAAGAGCACTTCAAGAGGCGAGAGAGGTAGGGAAAATAGAGATATGAGTACAGTTAAAACGTCTCCAGTTTTATTTTCTGCGCCAAATGAGGAGTTGCCCAAATCAGAAGCAGAACCCGACCACAATTACTCAAGCCCCTTCGCCACAGGGCAGCAATCTGTGAAGGGGAGAGACAGACTACTCTTTACTTTTTTTTATTTTTTTATTTTTTTATTTTTTGTTATGGCACATACTTTCTGCTTTCTTCAGCCTGATGCCTTTGTAATCCTGTATTTCCTCCTGATAACAAATGGCTGCTGGAATCACATTAATTAGCTTTCTCATATTAAATGAAAATATTTTGTCTAAAGTTAATTGTTTAATTTTGCATTCTGATTCTTCAAGGTTATCCTTTCCCTACTGCACCTCCAGTGGATCCATTTGCAAGAATTAGAGTGGATGACTGTGGAAAGACAAAAGGCTGCTTTAGGTTAGTATGATGCTTACCATAGATTTAGTCACAAATTCTAATACAGCCCAGAATATAACCAAGCGATTTGCCATAAAACATATCAATACATGCTTGTTATTATTGTGTCTTTATAACTAAAAATATTTCTGAATCCAGAAGTCCAACAACATGTAGAATTTCTGGAGCTGAAAATGAATTTTATGCTTTTTGTGCACCTATAGTACTTTAATGGCTAGGATCAAACTGCAACAAATTGCCTCCCATCATGTGAACCAGCTCGAGAGCTATCTTTTGGGCATCTTTTTCTTCTCTCAGAAAGTTGATCGATGAAGATAACAAAAAGAGCTCTCTTTTTCATGGCAATTATACCGTGTTTCCCCGAAAATAAGACAGGATCTTATATTAATTTTTGCTCCAAAAACACATTAGGGCTTATTTTCAGGGGATGTTTTATTTATTTTTTTTCATGTACAACAATCTACATTTATTCAAATACAGTCATGTCATCTTCTGGTTGCTGCACAGTGGTGGAGAGCGGGATTTATTTTAAGAGTAGGGCTTATATTATGAGCATCCTGAAAAATCATACTAGGGCTTATTTTCAGGTTAGGATTTATTTTGGGGAAAACAGGGTATTATCCCCCATGATTCCCAGGAATATTTGCTTGACATTTGTAGACAGACATTAAAAATTGCGTAAGTTTTGTAGCATTCTTACTTAATTTTCTTTTAATAGTTTTCCTTCTCATTTTCTTATTATTAGTTGGTTGTTTCATTAAACATTTGCTTGTTTTATTGTAACAGACTGTAAGCTGCCTTAAATGGGCATTTCATCTATAAAAGCAGAGTTGCCACTGCTTAAGGTGATACACTTCATTGAAATCTGCATGCTAATTTAAAAGCATAGATCTCTAGTATAGCTCTTCTCTTTAAAGCTCCTTTCTTAAGATGGTAACATAGGTACCACATGAAAACATTAGTTGTGCATTAAGGATGTGGAAGAGCACAACCCTGTGGTTGAAGGCTGCATATAAATTATAGTGTAAATTGTGAATAATAATACAGTACATTCAAAGTACATATACATTTTGAGAGATAATAAGTTTTGGAATGTGTGTGTGTAGATATCAAGAATATAGATATATATAATTAATCAGAAAATTAAAATAAAATGGAACTTATTTTTCCCTGCAAACTCTGACAAGGAAAGCACTGCCTCAGACGTGTAGCTTTAAGGTTTAATTATCCATTGGGCTTATGACACTTAAAGGGCTCTATTAAGTATGCAGGGGCACACAAGCTTTTTTACTTTGAAGAGCACATTTTTTCTTGGTAAAGGGCTGGGTGCAACAAATGCATAAACACACATTTCCCTATGTTAGACTTTATGCACACTGTATACACACATCAGCACATATGCATATATGTGCCTACATGTGCCCCTAGAATCACAGACCTGTAGAGTTGGAAGGGACCCAAGCATACTCTAATCCCAACCTGTTCCAATGCAGGAATCCACAGCTAAAGCATCCCAAACAGTTGGACACCCAGTCTTTGTTTTAATATATTGGAAGAAGGAGAGGAGACTCAACTTTCTTTTGAAATATTTTAGTCCCCTGTCAAACTGCTCTACCAGCAGGGAGTTTTCTTGTTATTGAATACTTCAGCTTGAACCCCCGTCCTCTGAAGAAAGAGAAAACAAATTTGCTGCAGCAGTTCTGATCCAGTCCAATAGGGGCAATGACAGATTGCACTTGCATTGCTCACTGTATGAGGGTAGGATAATAGTAATAAGAACAGCAATTACCAATGATGATAATAATGACAGAAGCAGTGAAAATGCATTGTTTTTACATGAGCATTTATTTGTTTATTTATATCTCCCCTCCCATGGCATCCCATGACATGGAGTTTCAGAGTCTGGGAGCAGCAACAGAGAAGGCCCTCTCTTGTGTCCCCTTCAGACACATCTGTGAATGTGATGGGACTGATTACTCAGGAGACAGCATGGGCAACAAGTTTTGAACTCTTTTGAATTGTATCCAGCTTCACCACGAGCCAACTGTTCCTTTTTACTCATTCACCAGGCAGTCAGACAATGACACTTATTTCCTTCATTTTTGAAGATCTGGCTTTCGGCTGCCATTTTGCAAGCTGTGGATCTTCCAGGGTTATCAACTAGCTTACAGTTAGCTAAGGGAGTTAAAAGTATTTGTTTGGGGAGAGGTTGGAGGTTTAACTCCCTTAGCTAACTGTAAGCTAGTATTTGTTTGGGGAGAGGTTGGAGTTGAGTAGGTTACCATTGGAGTCACTCCCTCCCATCTGCATCAGATTTTGTAAGTTTAGGATTGCTGTTTCAGTTAACCTGCGGACAAACGTACACTTGTGAAGTTCTTGTTATAATTAATTATTAAATAATTATAAATAATTATTCATGATTGTAGTAACTAATGCATATTTTGACATGTTTTTACTTTATGTAAAAACATCATGCAGGCCCTGATCATAATAAAAGAAGCTTGCAGGTGAGCACAGTTATTTGAAGTCTATAAGTGCAATATCCTAAGTATGCTTGGTTATGGACTGCAGCCCTAGTCAACCTGGATTCATTAGCCATTATTGTGTAGCATTATGTCAGTAGCAATTTTTCCACCTGGATGTACGCAAAAACTTCAGTTCATTGGATATTTCTGAATTGCAGGAAGTTATGTTTTGTTTCCTCTGTCACCTGTAGGTATGGTAAACCAGGATGCAATGCAGAGACTTGCGATTACTTTCTCAGTTATCGCAGAATAGGAGCTGACATAGAATTTGAGTTGAGCGCTGAGACAGATGGCTGGGTGGCTGTGGGATTTTCTTCAGATAAGAAAATGGTAAGAAAGTGTTAATAATTCAAGTAAGCATTGATCTGTTTGGGATAAAAAGGACATGCCTTTCTCTGGAGATGGAATATTCAGCAAAATAATTTTAATAGACAAAGCCTTTCTCTTTTATGGGTAGACTGGGTGCTTAGCAAAAGGAGATAAACACTAGGCCCATGAAATTGATTTAGGTGAGACATGGGTCCAAAGTGAGTATTTCTGAGTATGGAGATTCAGACTGCTTTGGAATCTCAGGTGACTCAGATCCAAGGTTGTCCTAATTGAAGTCAGCTAACTCTTAAGGCTTCAGATCTGCCATGGACTCTTGTAACTGTGTGTTAATATTTTAAAACTGACCTCAGAATTTGTATCTCCAGTGCATGACATACAGTGTCCTGGACACTAGGGATGCAAATGAGTGAAGAGGCCAGGAAATGCAGCCCTACTGTGCTCCTACTGATAACTAATATAGTGATTTGAATACTCATATAGGGCTTCCTGTGTCAAGAATCCCTATTAAATTACTATGGTCAGAACCTTCTTCAGGCATAGAAAGGAATATAAGTTTATAGCATCGGTATCTGCAGTTGCTAACAGACAGTTCCACAAGACACTAAAGACAGCATGAAACCTCTAGAGTGGCTAAACTTGGCAGAAACATAGGACTAGGGAGCACTCCCACAGTATTGCCATTCATCTTAACACTTTATCTTAAGTAAAGTTTAGGCTTTATGCTGGCAGTGATTTTCCAATATTAAAAGCCCCTTCCATCCAAAAGCTCCTAAAGATTCCCAAGGGCAAAATGGATCCTAGGGAGCTTCAGAAGCTGAAAGGAGACACAGAAGTTTTAAATTTAATTCAGTTAAAGATACTAGTTGTTAGATGATGAGATCATCCAGCTTCTGCAGTGTAATTTTACGCTAGCAGGATTTCAGTCAGGTTTTTTTAAAAACATTGTAGGTTTGCATAGTAAATGCATAACTTTCTACTTGACTATTTTCATTTACCTGAAACTGACAGAATGCATTTGCATGGGAATAAGTAAACTTTGCATTTTCACATGAACAGGTGTACTAGTTGTAAGAATCCAGAATATGAAGCATTCAGATCCATTAGAAAACTGAAACTAGTGCTTCTGTTCTTGTGAAAGTGTAAAATCCCACTTAACTTCATGGAACAAACATTCTGTTAGTAAGAGCTACACAGATGGTAGGCCTGCTGGGTGGTCTTGGTGTTGGCACAAGTGGCTGCCTTCCCACAAAGAATAGTTTAAACAAAATTTCCTATGTTCCTCATTCCATACTTTTTTACCCACCAATGTGAACATGACAGTTCACTTTTGATCCAATAAACCTCTTAATTTTGCAAGCTACTGAGCTGCCAAGTACCAGGCAAGATGCCTCTCCACTAACTGTCTCGTCATCATTGTTTAGTCGTTTAGTCATGTCCGACTCTTCGTGACCCCATGGACCAGAGCACACCAGGCCCTCCTATCTTCCACTGCCTCCCGTAGTTGTGTCAAATTCATGTTGGTTGCTTCGCAGACACTGTCCAGCCATCTCATCCTCTGTCGTCCCCTTCTCCTCTTGCCCCCACACTTTCCCAACAGCAGGGTCTTTTCCAGGGAGTCTTCTCTTCTCATGAGGTGGCCAAAGTATTGGAGCTTCAGCTTCAGGATGTGTCCTTCCAGTGAGCACTGAGGGTTGATTTCCTTTATAATTGATAGGTTTGTTCTCCTTGCAGTCCAGGGGACTCTCAAGAGCCTCCTCCAGCACCACAATTCAAAGGCGCCAATTCTTCGGTGGTCTGCTTCTTTAAAACCCAATTAAAAACATGGCTGTTTATTCAGGCCTTCCCTCCACCCAACTCTTGATTTTTTCTTACTTTT